AGTTTGAATTTACTTAAATCTGGATAAAGGCTCAACAGGAGCCTGCAAATATTGCTTTGAATAATATGGATTTTTGGAAAATATTAAAAATCCATATTATACTTGGCTTTGATAAAAAAAAAAACTGATTCTGCTATTCAGTGTCATTTATTGAGTACCTAGGCCCTGATTTAATAAGTTTTTCAAATGATTAAATACTGTTAGAAAAAAAAAGTGATTTAGCTACAGAAGTCACCATTGAAGTCTATGGGGATTTTTGAAGTTAAATCATTTAGGAATTTTTCTAACATTATTGAATCATTTGGAAATCTAACTAATTTAAGGCCATGATCCTCAATAAATGGCCTTGAAATTAGCAACATCGAAAAATGCTTTTTATTAAAACTATTTACCCGCTGGCAGCACTTGCAGCCAGCAAGCAAATATTTTTAAAAAAGCCAATTTTATTCAATAAGACCCCCATAGTACAAAGATGGATCGTAGGACGCTAAATTATTTATTTAGAGCCCCACTATCTTCACCATGTATGTTACTAGCAAATGGGCAGCAATGCTTGCCCAGTGGCTAATCTTTTACTTTTTAATGATCAATAACTTAATTAAATGTATCTGCCATTACAAAGGCAGCTAAATGTGCTTACCAAGAATATTTATCTGAGGATTTTTCAAGCAGTTGATACTAAAGGACAAAAAGAGGGACAATGCAGGGAGTGGTGTGTCTCCATGTGTGTAGACTCCTTATAGGGTTGTTGTGTGTGGGAAGGAGGATGCTAGTGGTGTTGTGTGTAGGGTAGGCTGGTTGTGTATGTATATATATGAGGAGGTTGCCTGTGGAGTTGTTTACCAGGTTTATCATGTACCATCGGGCCAGCTGGGGAGATGCATTTTAAGTGAAAGAGTCTTTGATATTGTGGCTTTTTGCCTGCATAAAGATAAAGAAAACATCTCTTAACCGTGTTCCTTCACAGTGTGGATCCAAGTCCTGGAAATGTTACCTTCAATGGTGTTGAAAGAAATCAGGTGCAAATCTTATAACCAGAGCCAATGTCTGCTCTAACCAATTGATTGGTTGACATCTTCTGAAATCAACAGGAGAGTGAGGTGTTACAAATGTAATTCTTTGCATACTTTCAAGTGATATTTATTATATTATGATTATTGTTATTATTATTTGCATTTACAATCTACGGTAGGTAGATATACATTGTCATTAAGTGTTATGCCCAAGGACATTTACTGGTAGGATGGACTAGAAAGTGCAGAGTCTGAATTTACATTCACTATGAATTGAGTGTTTTTCTTCAGTGCATTAATCTGTTCAATCACAAACTACAGCTGGGTTCAAGTCTGACTATAAAAAGGTCATCTACAGTTGTACTCAAAATTATTCAAACCCCATTGAAGATCAGGTTTATTGTCAAAATGTACTGCCTTTCAGTTGTTTGCAATGAACAAATAAAAGAAAAGCGATTGAAATAGCTCAACACAACAAATGCTTCAAGTGGTTTCCCCTAATTCATCTGAAAATCTTATAATGACTTATAATGACTTCTGGAGTTCAACTTTATCTTTTCAATGGCCTTAAAAGTTGAGGTTATGTGGATCACCATCATGGCACTATCTGCCATCTGAATTGTTGATAATTTTTTCAACAAACAAAAACAAAATCAAAGGCACCAAAGAATTGCAATTTGCCAATGCAGATAGTACTATACTATCCTGGGCATGTTGGATAAAAAACTAAACTGCAAGCAAGAGAGTGATCCCACAACAACGATACCCAGTCTGGTAATACGAAATACTCCACAGTTTAAAATTCTAAACTCAGTCAGCATAGTTGTGTAATGGGACTAAATATAAATTAACTAACAGCAGTGTATACAATGTAGCAGATACATTAAAATATTTAACAGTATAAGTGTGCAATTCAGGCTTTGATCATTCATGCCTATGATCACTGACAGAAATGACTGCTAACTTTGTTCCATCAATTTCAGCCAAACTCCAGTGGAGGTAAAGGCAATAAAAGGGTACAGACTCCTATCCTCTTCAGCCATACTAATCATAACCCAGTTTATAAGGGGATGAAGTTTAACAACATAATATAAGGAAACAGTCCCTAAAACTCAAGGGAATTAATCACCAAGTTTCAAGATAACATCAGGAAGGTTTTTTATTTCCTGCAAAACATTCATCCCATATAGCTAACTATCTAAAAATAGTAGCTCAGAAGAAAGTAGCTCCTGGCTAGTCCCTCAGATCTAGATTTTTCACATGGGTGAAACAATCTGAACTACTACTGAGCTACTATTATTACATAATTCTTTGGCTTCTTTGGGAGCTTATATATTAACAACTGTTTAATGTGTGAAGATATGGTAATATATAGAATAATTAATCAACACTCAGGTGAGTGAATTATGGAATATTGGATTTTAAAATGTGTCAATACTTACCTCTGCCAAGCCCCGTCCTGCCGCGCGGTCCGACCGCTCCATCCGACCATGCGGCATACTAAGGGAAATTACCTCTCTCGATCCTAACCAACCTCCTCCTGCCACGGGTCTGACTGAACTTTGTGGCTGGGGCGGCATTATGTCTATAAATAGATGTAGACGTCACGCCCACTTTTAAAGTGACCACGTCATCATTGCAATCCTAATCTATTTTGGATTGCAGTGATGATGTGGGCCTATGAAAACATAAGTAAGCCTCTTTAAGCCTTGTTTTAGTCCACATTTATTGTGCTATCAGAGTTTCTGCTAAACCTTGTTTAGTGCTCCTTGTGATTTCCTGTGTTTGACCTCAGCATCGTATTTGACTCGTGATTTCTGGTATCCTGACCTCGGCTTTGTATTTGACTCATGATTTCTGGTATCCTGACCTCGACTTCTTATTTGACTTGTGATTTCTCGTATCTTGACACCGACTTTGTCTTGACACTGAGTATTCCTGTTATTCCTGTCCTTGATTTATTCTTGACCCTGATTCTTGTTGTTTAGTTACCTTAAGTCCAGCCAAGGCTCAGTTATACGTCTTTCGGATCCACCTGTTGTGGTTTCCTCTTTTCTGGGTGTTGGGTTATGACTCCCGAGACATAAAGTAGGAATTTGTATTACCAATCCATTAGGATTTTTCAGATTGCAGATCTTTACATTGTGCTGTGACTTTGGCCAAGTAATATTTATGATCTTTAAGATATTTATGATCTTGGTGTAGAAGGTCACCAGTAGAGTTGAGCAGACACCTGGATGTTTGGGTCCGGCGAGTTCGGCCGAACTTTGAAAAAGAGTCTGGGTTCGGGCTCAAACTTGACCCGAACTTTTGGCCACAAAAACTGCCTCTAAAAAACTCCTGGAAAGGGCTAGAGAGCTGCAAAAGTAAAATGGGGGTAAGAGTAGGACAAGTGCCCTGCAAACAAATGTGGATAGGGAAATCAATTAAAATAACATAACAATTAAAAATACAGCTGAGCCATAAAATAGCACTAGATGGAATCTTTGATTTTAGCTTTGGAAGAACATAAATCAAAATCTAAAGCATTGCTGTCAGGAGGATCACCAGAATTATCCATTTGAGAGAGGGTTGGAGTGCAGGGTATTCTCTTTCATTGTTCAAACTGAGCTCAACTCCTGATGCATGGAGAAAAGGCCTTCACAAGCCTCTGCTATTTTGTACATAGTTTATTCTAAGTGACTCATAGGTTGAGGAGGCGATGACCGTGGCAGTGTAGGTGGAAGCAGTGGTGGACGTCGAGGATGATGTAGCCAACACTGTTTTTTATGTTTTTTCTTTTTTTTAAATTGTGCATTTCTTGCAGTCCTGATGCATGGAGAAATGCTCAACTCCTGATGCATGGAGAAAAGGCCTTCACAATCCTCTGCTAATGTGTACCTAGTTTATACAAAGTGACCCATAGGTTAAGGAGGAGGTGACCGTGGTGGTGTAGGTGGAAGCAGCGGTGGAGGAGGAGGATGAGGTAGCCAACACTGTTTTTTATGTTTATTTTTTTTTAATTGTGGTAGCCTACAAAATATTGGGACATACAAAAAAAGAAATATTTGCAGCCTGCGGTGCATTTCTTGCAGTCCTGATGAATGGAGAAATGCTCAACTCCTGATGCATTGAGAAAAGGCCTTCACAAGCCTCTGCTAATGTGTACCTAGTTTATACAAAGTGACCCATAGGTTAAGGAGGAGGTGACCGTGGTGGTGTAGGTGGAAGCAGCGGTGGAGGAGGAGGATGAGGTAGCCAACACTGTTTTTTATGTTTATTTTTTTTTAATTGTGGTAGCCCACAAAATATTGGGACATACAAAAAAGTAACATTTGCGGCCTGCGGTGCATTTCTTGCAGTCCTGATGCACGGAGAAATGCTCAACTCCTGATGCATGGAGAAAAGGCCTTCAAAAGCCTCTGCTATTGTGTACATAGTTTATACTAAGTGACCCATAGGTTGAGGAGGCGGTGACCGTGGCGGTGTAGGTGGAAGCAGCGGTGGAGGAGGAGGATGAGGTAGCCAACACTGTTTTTTATGGTTTTTTTTAATTGTGGTAGCCCACAAAATATTGGGACATACAAAAAAAGAAACATTTGCAGCCTGCGGTGCATTTCTTGCAGTCCTGATGAATGGAGAAATGCTCAACTCCTGATGCATGGAGAAAAGGCCTTCACAAGCCTCTGCTATTGTGTACATAGTTTATACTAAGTGTCCCATAGGTTGAGGAGGCGGTGACCGTGGCGGTGTAGGTGGAAGCAGCGGTGGAGGAGGAGGAGGAGGTAGCCAACACTGTTTTTTAAGTTTTTTTTTTTTAATTGTGGTAGCCCACAAAATATTGGGACATACAAAAAAGGTAACATTTGCGGCCTGCAGTGCATTTTTTGCAGTCCTGATGCATGGAGAAATGCTCAACTCCTGACACATGGAGAAAAGGCCTTCACAAGCCTCTGCTATTGTGTACATAGTCTATACTAAGTGACCCATAGGTTGAGGAGGTGGTGACCATTGCGGTATAGGTGGAAGCAGCGGTGGAGGAGGAGGATGAGGTAGCCAACACTGTTTTTTTAGATATAATTATATTTTTTAATTGGGGTAGCCCCCAAAATATTGGGACATATAAAAAAGACAACTCTGTTCCACAGAGTAGCTGTTGACATTATAGTTGTGCAGGCACTTTGTTGACTCTAGAAAACCTCGGGCAAATCGCACATCCCCATGACGGCAACTTTGCATTCGGATGTCATCCGTATCAACTTTCGATGCCAGTTTCTGCGCCTACCATGGTGACCACGGGTAACGGGGAATCGGGGTTCCATTCCGTACAGGGACCCTGAGAAACAGCTACCACATGCAAGGAAGGCAGCAGGCGCGCAAATGACCCACTCCCGACGCGGGAAGGTAGTGATGACAAATAACAATACAGGACTCTTTAGAGGCTCTGTAATTGTAATGAGTCCACTTGAAATCCTTTAACTCTGATCAATTGGAGGGAAGTCTGGTGCAGAGCCACTGACCCATGCGTGCTGCAGCTGAAACTCCACAATCGCCTGCTGCTGCTCGCACAGTCTCATGAGGCCGTGAGTGGGAAGGCCGAAGTTACTCTGCAGCACAGACAGGCGAGCAGCAGCAGGGCGAGAACGCCAAAAGCGCACACAGCCGCTACAGTGAATGTCACATCCTGTTCCAAGTTGCGGATCAGTCTGGTGATGGCTTCTGGTATTCAGTACTCTTTTTACTGAAGCTGCATCAGGGTCCTGGTATGTGGCCGCACAAACGCTGGTGCTCAACATCAGGGAGCGTGTGGTTACCCTGCACCAGACCCTGCTAATCCATTCCACACTGTGACTCCTAACTTCAACACCAGGCATACTGGGTCCCAGTCATCCGACCGCCGCCCAGGCAGTGTCTGGGTCCTGGTCACCGGACTGCCCACCTGACTGTGAAACTACGAATGGATCGTTAAATCTGGTACGAACCTGAACTTTGCAGTTGGCACCTGTGTTTTTCCAGCATGTAAAGTCTGCAAAGGACATATGGAAATTGTTTTAGAATTGTATCCAGGCAACAGTTTTCCCTATAAACTGACCTCTCAGTTTGACTTGTGAGGGTATTGCCCCAGAATTACAATATTGTTTAAGTACCTCTTAGCTATTAATAACTGGTTTAAATATAGCAGCTTGTTATCTGGTAGTTTCTAGTGTAGAAAATATTAATCCGTTTTCTATCACTTACATCTGTGTAACAAGTGTTGTAGGTGTGAAACAATATTACAAGTGACCGATGTAGTAAATTCAAATCAAAGTTACGCTTCGATTTGACTCTCAGATATGAAGTGAACACCCCAAATATACTATTTAGCACCAAAAAATAAATTAAAAAAATTTACTTTTTAAAACTCCAATGTAAAAGGTTATACAACCTCCGTGAGACGCCACCAAACCCCTCGGAAATACAAAACTTCCTTAGAGGGAGAATCAAACACACACTACCGGCTAATGAGAGAATCTTCCTAGAAAGCCCCATCTCAGCAGAAGAATTCCACTACATTGTTAAGACACTCCCAATAGGGAAAAGTCCAGGCCCAGATGGCCTAACAGGGAAATACTACAAAACGTTGGCCCAAGAACAGGAATAACCCTTTCTTAAGGCTTTCAATGACTGAGACCTAAAGCACTCCATTGCCCACTCTGCATTGGTTGCAAACATAGCCTTAATACCGAAAGAGGGGAAGGACCCATCCAACTGTGGTAGCTACAGGCCCATCTCATTAATAAACATAGACATAAAGATCTTTACTAAAATCCTAGCCAACAGATTGAAACCTCTCCTTCAGGGACTAATACATGATGATCAAGCAGGCTTCATCCCAGGTAGGGAAGCCAAAAATAATACCACCAAAATTATAAATCTAATACACTGGGCGACCACCAAAGGCAAACACTCACCTAACGTCCTTCTAGCAATAGACGCGGAAAAGGCATTTGATAGGGTCGATTGGTCCCTTATGCTCGCCACTTTGAGGGGTTTGGGATTTGGGGAGAAGTGGGTGGAATGGCTGGAAGCTATTTACTCAACCCCAACAGCTAGACTCAAAATCAATGGACAACTTTCCGACCCAGTCCAAATACGTAATGGAACCCGACAGGGGTGTCCCCTGTCACCCCTCATCTTCATATTGACTCTAGAACCCTTCATACAGGGGATCAGAGATAACCCCCTGATAAGGGGCTTCAAAACGGATAGGGGAGAGTATAAGGTGTCTGCGTTCGCAGATGACCTTCTATTCACTGTCGCAGACCCTAGTTCATCCCTCCCCCAGATACTTCATGAAATGGACCTCTATAGCAGAGTCTCGAACTTCAAAGCTAACCTCACTAAATGTGAAATTTTACCACTTAATGTCACTCAAAATTTAGAGGAACATCTTAAGGGCTCCTTTATCTTCAGTTGGGCATCCAACTCCATCAAATACCTGGGGGTACACCTGCCTAGGAGACTAAATCACCTTTACGAGCTCAACTTTCCCCCACTCTTAAAAGCTATATCCTCTGATTTAATAAAATGGCACAAACCGGGGTTCAGCTGGTTCTGCAGAGTAAATATCATTAAAATGAATGTGCTCCCTCGCCTGCTTTATCCTCTCCAGACCCTGCCCATAGCCATCCTGAATACATTCCTAACCGCAGTTCGCAAGTCCATCACAACATTCATTTGGGCCCACACTCGCCCCCGAATAGCATACTCCCTTCTAACGACCACACGCGAGGAAGTGGGAGTAGGCCTGCCTGACTTCGACACTTACCACAAAGCCATACACCTAGCCAGAATCTATGAGTGGACTAAAACTTCATCATCTTTACAATGGAAAACAATAGAGGGATCCTTCCTCAGAGTGCCTCTCCATACCGCGCCATGGCATAAAACAACGATACAATGGCTATCACATAACCAACACCCCACAATAGGGACGACTCTAAAGATTTGGCAAACGCTACGTGGACAAAACGCACTCTCACCACATCCCTCACCGCTTTACCCCATCACTCACAACCCACTCTTCGAACCGAGACTGATGGGGAGACTACTGGACCAGGTTCGCACAAACCCACATGTCCAACTTAGAGAGGGGGTGAGAGATGTATCCATTGCACCAATTCACACACTCACGGCATCCCATGATCCAACATGGCCCCAGAAACTATACTATACACAAATGTCGCACTTTATCCACTCCATGAAACTGATCCCAGCTGGAGTAAGGGACCTCACAGATTTTGAAAACCTATGCTCAGAACATCCCCTCAAAGGTAAAATACTTTCAGTCATGTACAAACTACTCATAAAACTCAAGTCGCATGCACCTCCTCCCTATGTTGGCAAATGGGACCAAGAACTCCAGGTTAAACTCACACCAGGCCAATGGAAACAGGTTTTCATGAGAACCCACAGATCATCCGCATGCACGATCATACAGGAGGGTAACTACAAAAGACTAGCCAGATGGCACTACACATCCTTTAAACTACACAAAATATACAACTCCACCCAACACACATGTTGGCGGTGTCACCGACCGAATGCCAATACTGCACATATTTGGTGGGAATGCTCTTATATACGAGCCTTTTGGCTACGTATTCTTAAGCTAATTAAAATAATCACGGGAACCTCAATATCGCCTGCCCCGGAATACCTGATCCTCCTACTTCCACCCCCTGACATTAAGAAAGAGAGACTATCTCTCATAACACACCTTCTCACAGCGGCAAATCTATTGATCCCTGCCAAGTGGAAAAATCCGCATCCTCCATCCCTGAGGGAATGGATGCATAAGGTAGAAGGAATAAAACAAATGGAAGAACTCACATACGCTATATCCAAGAAATACCAGACATTCAGTCTCGTATGGCAACCTTGGAATGAATTTCTCAATAATGTTTGTACTCTAAGTTAGGAGAGAGACTCACAAAATGGTATATATATATCTACACATATATTAGACAATGGTTTAAGACCTCCCTTCCCAGACACGCTCTAGAATATGGCCAGTCTATTTCCCGACCGCGACTATTAGATACCAAACCGGCACATTGACCATAATACAGACATAGGCGTTGTAATGCCTCTGACAGACGAATTTGTCTACTTGTAATTGATCTTATGTAATATGCAATTACCGTCGGTTTGTAAGTAACCATGACTGTATATAAATGTATTGTGTTGCTTACCGCTCCCACACTGTGTAACTTCTGAAGAAATGTTATCTTGATGTACACTGAATTCTACTGGTATATGCTTATTTGAAAATGAATAAAAACACTTAAAATAAAAAAAAAACTCCAATGTAAGCAGCAGATTAGCAGTAAAACAATTAGAATGTTTGCAACTGCGCAGTAAGCGCACTATTTGACGCTTCTATTTGACTCTCAGATATGAAGAGCAGGCCCCAAAATGTACTATTTAGCAGATTAGCAGCAAAACAATTAGAATGTTTACAATTGCGCTGTAATCGCAGTAATTGACGCTTCTATTTGACTCTCAGATATGAAGAGCAGGCCCCAAAATGTACTATTTAGCAGATTAGCACCCAGAAAATAAGAATGTTTACAAGTGTGCTGTAAGCGCACTATTTGACGCTTCTATTTGACTCTCAGATATGAAGAGCACGCCCAATATGTACTATTTAGCAGTTTAGCATCAAAACAATTAGAATGTTTACAATTGCGCTGTAACCGCAGTATTTGGTGCTTCTATTTGACTCTCAGATATGAAGAGCAGGCCCCAAAATGTACTATTTAACAGATTAGCACACAGAAAATTTGAATTTTTACAACTGCGCTGCAATCACACTATAAGACGCTTCTATTTGACTCTCAGATATGAAGTACACCCCACTAAAATACTATTTAGCAGTTTAGCACCCAAAATTTTTTACGTTTTAAAACTGCAATGTGACAGCAGTATTTGACGCTTCTATTTGACTCTCAGATATGAAGAGCACGCCCAAAATTTACTATTTAGCAGTTTAGCAGCAAAACAATTAGAATGTTTACAATTGCTCTGTAACCGCAGTATTTGACGCTTCTATTTGACTCTCAGATATGAAGAGCACGCCCAAAATGTACTCTTTAGCAGTTTAGCAGCAAAACAATTAGAATTTTTACAATTGCTCTGTAAGCGCACTATTAGACGCTTCGATTTGACGCTCAGATATGAAGTGCACTCCTCAAAATATACTATTTAGCAGTTTAGCACCAAAACAATAAGAATGTGCCTCAAAATGTACTATTTAGCAGTTTAGCACCAAAACAATAAGAATGTTTACAACTGCGCTCTAAGCGCACTATTAGACGCTTCTATTTGACTCTCAGATATGAAGAGCAGGCCCAAAAATGTACTATTTAGC